AGGAGCATGGGCGTGTACCTTCTGCCACAGGCGCTCGTGTTTAATGTCCTGCAAGACTTGTAATGCACGAGCGAAATATGAGGGCTTGGTCCAACCGACATTTCAAAGGTTTATCATGGTTGGTGGGCTTCATTATCCGTAATGTAACAGACGGGGATAACCCGAATCCCAGGGTGAGTGGCTAATCAAATTTACCGTTGCCCAGTCCTCGGAAAGAAACACATACGATGCGACTGTACTAGAATTACTTCAGTTGGGTGTGGATTCAAGCGGCGCAACTCAACATGTTAAAGATGATCAGGGCGGTGGTTCCGCGCCGAAGTCTGTCAGAAAAATACCATGGAAGGCAGTCGAGTATCATGGTCGACAGTTCAGTATCACATTCGAAAGGAGTGTGGGAGCTCCGACCACCGAGGATACTGAACTCCGCACAGATTATGACCATGTGGATCTGCAATGCCCGAGCTACACGAACGACGCACCAGCAACGAAGTGATTTGACATGTGCCGAACGCACCGACGGGGAGTCCAATCTAGTACATATTCTTGTAATTCAATGGCTCGGTATGGTGCGTGCGCCGCGCACCACCGGTGCTCAACGGGTGGTATGGAGTAACAAGAGATGGAGAGACAGCTTCATTCACTCGAGCCTGGCCTCGAGTTAAGTTGACAAATACATTAGTGCATTGTTGCGGCCGTTGCCCAACCCCGGCAAGAACCGAATTGCACTACTTCGAACTTGGACGGATCCGAACGACATGGACAGATCTGGTCTGCCACCTGTCGCCAAGAGGATCCTCGAAGTAAATGCCCCACTGATCCACCATGGGTCAAATGCCCTCCTCATCCACCCTCTTCCCCGACACTTCGCCAATAGATGGCTATCACCTACCTGGGAAGAAGCTGCAACCCACCTTCGGGCGCGCTGGCTGTCACCTTCAAAAACACATTCTATCCTCTCAAATTCTACCGCCCGGGCTGTATTCAAACCAGTTCTCGGGCGCCGTGGCTGCAGAGCTATCGTTCAAACCCGTATCCCCGGTTAATCAAAACCCTTGTATATAACCCGCCTCGCGCGGCCTGCATCCTACCATTCCACACTACAAAAACCCCAACATGCAGCTCCCCACCCTCGCAACTCTCTCCCTCATCATCGCGGCGTTCGCGCTGAGCATCCAAGCCGTTCCCACCGTCTGCGAGTGCGACACCATGAGCGGTCGCATGGAGGCGGCGAGGGCCTGCGATTGCTGATTCGGCGGCGTATGTAAGTGGCTATTTGCCTTCGGGGTCAAAGGAGACTCACTCGCCGCCTGCAGGAAACCTTATGAGCATGGTCGTTTTCCTCGAAGATTGTCGGTTGAAGCAAATTTGTCGATGAAATAAATTTGGGTGTCTTGATATCTTGCGCAGGGGGGGTCCAGCAGTTCTGGAGATGTGGACGGGTGACGCATAGCTCCAGATATCTCTCTGCACTCTGTATTCTTGAACTCAGCTCGAATTGGCGGACGTACGTCCTGAGTGACACAAATGTTGAACTTGAACTTGAATTTGAACTCTTGTCGATGAGTAGAATGTAAAGACTGGGCACCGCCGCTGCCCAGAGAATGCTGGACGTCATCTATTCAATGAGTGTTGAGGTCTACTAATTGTACAATTTATTGAGTGGTGTAATTTTCACAGATTCCACCGCCGCGAACTCCCAGGCGCGGAATACCCTTCTTCAAACCGCGCCCGCGAGAAGCCACGCCAGCCCTGTCCTGAAATCCTTGTCCAGCTTCCGGCTCGCGGCCAGCTGCGGGAACGCCGCGTAGAACGCGTGCGGGACGCCCGGATATCTGCACGGGGTGCGTCAGACTTGAATGAAATATTAACTAAGAGGCGAGATGGTGGGACGCACATATCGAATTTGGTTTTGACACCACTCTCGCGTAAGACGCGCTCGTACAAGAGGCCCTCGTCGCGCAGCGGGTCGAGGCCTGCGACCTGGAAGTACGCGGGCGCGAGCCCCGCGTGCTGAAGGAGGAGCGGGGACGCCTCCGGATGCGTGGGCGGGGCTTGCAGGAAGTCTACACGTGCACGACGCCCCAATCACCAAGACCGGCGAAAGGCGCGAGGAGGGGACGCACCATAGAAAGAGTCCATCGTCGCCTTCGACAGGATCGGCGCGTCCTTATTTTGCTCCATCGAGAGCAGCTCTGCCTTGAATCTAGTAAACATCAATCTATGTGGGGTAGTACAGAGAGTGAACGGCGCATACTCTTCGGGGCACGCCGCGCCCGGGTGCAAAAGCGCCGGAATGCGAAGGATCTGGCCCGTCAGGGGGTGTGCGGCGAAGGATGGCTCGTCCCGCGCGCGGTGTGCAATGACTGCCGAGGAGTGTGCGCCGGCAGACGCTCCGCCGACGAGGAAACCCTTCGTCGGGTCGCCGGAGATTTCCGCAACGTGATCAGCGGCCTACAAACATCGATATGAGCGGCGTTCGAGGGAAGGCTGGGGTGACTGCTATGCGACGCACCCATTTCAGGGCCGCGTACGAATCGTTCAAGCTAGTTGGGAAGGGGTGCTCGGGCGCGAGCCTGAGGTGGGAGATGATGGGGTGAAACGATGCGCAGATTGTGGACAGACCGGCTTACCTATATTCGACATTGACGATTGAAATCCTAAAGTCGACGGAGATAATCCGGAGATAGAAATCGTCGATGTCGATGTCGCCCGCGACCCATCCTACACACCAAGCCATCGTTGACGAACCTCCAATGAAATTCGTGGCAAATCGCACCTCCACCGTGGAACCAGACCAAAATGGGGAAGCCCCCGCTCTCGCCGTCCCGCGCGACGGGCTCGATGCAGCGCACGGGAATCTCCGCACCGTCGACGGGGACGGTGCGGTCCGTCACACTGTATGCGGAGTCTGCGGCAGGTTAGCATTGAGCGGTGCACGGCCAGGTTGCGCATCCACACGCGCGTACCGGGCGGGAGGTCCGCGCGGACACTACCCTGCAGCTGTGGCAGGAACACCGTGCGCATGAAATGGCGCTGGGCCATCACGTCCATGGGCCCCGTTGGTTTCGACTGCGGCGGGAGCTTAGCGAGGATCTCGAGGAGCTCGGGATCGGGCGTCGAGAGGTGGGCGTATTGGGACATGATGATGCGTCTGGCTTGATCTGGGAAGAGGGTAAGTGGGCAAAGTGTGGGCGATGGGAGTCACCTCAGCATATCGACCGCGTCTTATACGCGACGCGAATGAGACTCAGTGAGTCGTATCTGGCTCGAGCCGGAATGATTCGAATCAACCGTATGTGTGCGGCACCGGCGCTTGTGTTTCTGGCAGTTCATACATAACCTGCGAACGAGTCATTCGTAAGCGGTTTTCTTGCCTCGGGTGAAATAGATGCCGTATCCATCATGATGCTAGTTACATCATTCTTGAAATCCGCAGTCTATGACTCGATCGCCCCTCGGAATCGGCCCACGCGAGGCGGGCGGCGCGAAAATTATGGGAACAGGCTTGAGTGGCCCTGAGATGCCGAGATACGGGCGAGAGTCCTTTCAGATCGAGTCAGACATGCGAAGCGCGAGCACCCTCAAGCAAATTCGCATTGACTTCGCGCGCCGCGCACCTCTAGCTTACGGCGCGGAGCTGCTCCGGCGTGTGATGCGCTTTTACACCTGGAGTGGTCCAAGTTTGCGCGGAAGTCTTGAGATACAAGGAGGAGGCGGGATTGTCAATGGCCCTGTCAGCCATTCAGGGAGGCAGCAAGGGCCGACCGCTTGCCAGGGGCGCATGTACGTAGAGCCCTGACGAGCGTGCCCAAAGACATGGGCGCTTGAGAGCTGGAGAGGCGGAAAGGGATACAATCTCTAGACGATGACGCATGCAGGCGAGGCGATTGCGAGAGATTTTCATGACGCAGAGTCTCAAGCAAAGACCAGCAGTGAAAAAAATAGTCTCAAGGGGAGCTCTCCGCTGTTTGCGTTTCGAATTCGAGGTTGATTTTCAGGCATCTTGCATTTTTATTGGGAGCCGAGCAATTTTCATGCGTTGGTCTTGCGCCAAGGTGCCGGCAAACGAGGATGCGGACGTGGAGAATAGCGGCTTAGAGCACACATCGCCTGATGTCCTCGTCGACGGGGATGTGCGGAGGGGGAGATCTACACATGCCCAACATCTTCCTTATCTTGGCAAGACACAGGAATAAGTGCCAAGCGGTGATCCTAGCCCGAGAAGGGCGAAGACCGTGGCGCAGACATGCAGAACAGGCGCCGTAGCTCTCGATGCCTACGGTGACCAGTGGCAGAAAGAAGCGCAAGATATAACACCGGCGCGGGACGGTAAAATCGATGGTGGGTTCCAACGAAGAAGATCGTAGCAAGAGCCTCTGTCCCAGAGCCCTGCTCGGAAATGCGCGGCTTTCGTAGGGTCAGCGTTTGATAATTTTGCAGGTAGGCACGCAAAGTGAGCGAGTGGCATAGCACGAGAAAGCACGGCGCGCCGTCCACGCTCTAACCGAGGAAGCTCAGAAGTTTACGAGGTGTGGTGCGTTTCGTGATTCATGTGCAGCAGATCGAGCAAGGGATGAATAGATTGACAGCAGCATGCGCCGAGCATGGAAGGTGGAACCAGAAAGTGAGCATGTGTCACCGCTTGGTCAGCCGCCCCGAAAAAGGCGGTTGGGCACGTGGCCCATTCGGAGGGTGCCCGATCCGGAATTACTGTGTCATGCGTCGGAAGGGCGCAATGGGCCTCGGGGATGAGTAAATAATACATATATTCAGCCATTCAGATGCGCTAATGAGCTTTAAAAAATGAGTCATAGTCAGGCGCAAGCCGGACGTGAGGACGTTCACTTGTTTTAACTGGTCGAGCATAGTGCGAATGAAATGTAGTGACGCCGTACACCACGCCGGCGTATGCCTTGTTTTACTTGCCTCGATATGTACATGGTTATATAGATTTCAAACGAAAAGGTTACCAAAAAAGGTTTTCGCAGAGTGGGTTATGCGGACGCGGGGAATCGAACCCCGGCTCACTGCTTCAATCGTTCGTACCTTTTTTACGGAAGGCAGCTGTGTACCATGCACCACGTCCGCTGATAACATCCGCTGCTGGCCTGTGTTTATTGACAGAGCTGGCAGGCAGGCACTGTAGCTAAGGCGCTCGTACCAGCAATTTTCAGAGCTATACCATGTCGACCGAGCGTACATCGATCCCGCCGAAGCTCTCCATAGGACCCCAATCGTTTTAGAAGGAATAAGCCACAGAAAACTCTGCAGTCCCACTGGAATCTATTCGAAGATGCTCGAGATGCCCGATAGCACTCAAATTCATGCCAATAGATTCCTCTTTGCCAGCTAAATTTAGCCAGGGCGCTCCGAGACCGAAATTAGAATGGACGGGATAGAATCAGTGGTACACCGTGCACCACGACATGCGGACGCAGGGAGTCGAGTTGCTTCAATACAGTGGTGCCCCGCACACTACGTCCGCTTATAATAGCCCCGTGTGGACCTGAGTTTATCACAGTGGCGCCGGGAAGGCAGTGCGGAGAACCCGCTCGAACTAGGGATTTTAGGTCATCGCGATATCACCTGCCCTAGGATTTCAGCCGGGCTAGATATGTAAATAAGATCAACTCGTGCAAGCGCATCACAGAACAAAAAATCCTACCTAGACATCAGGCACCGGGGAGTCGAACCCCAAGCAACCTCATACATCATCGAGTTCGATAAAGGTAGGAGGGTGTTCCGTACACCATGCCTGACTGAACGAGTATGGTGTATCTTTCCACAAGTGCGCTGCACAAGCAATCGAAGACTGCGGAATTCCGAGATAGTGCGCGAATTGCAACCTCCCGGACGTTACCCAAACATGATATTTGTTCCTGAATGTATAATAAATAAGTGTCCATGGGAGTGCGGGAGCTACTGAACCCGGAGTAGCCACAGGTCACCATTGAATCATGTAGCACGCCGGCAGGGAGGCGAACCCCGCGCATCCCATGCATAGCACGGATAAACTATGGCAATACGGATGGGACGTGTGCCATACACCACCAGCGCTTACACCTGCCTAATAGAATCATCTATTCAGCGAGGTGTCTGTTATCTAGTTTCGGCATTCCGCAAGCTTATCGTCGCAATGGACTACGCACTTCACTGCCAGTAATGCACCCGATGATGAGATCCGCGCTAAAAGGCATGGCTCGGGGTCGACTGGGGTGAGACGAACGGAGGAAAGTGCAGCGTGTTCTCGTAAGGTGGAACACTGACGCTCGCATGCATATGATGGATGCCAGGGGAGACTGGCATGGAGAGATCTTGCCCATTGTGATAGGGGAGGATGCCAGGAACCACAGAAGCTCGGGACGCCATCTCATGATAATCAGGATCCGTGTGAGGTCCGAGGCACAGTCCAAAGAGCTGTGAATCATGATGATCTCTGTTGTGAGTGTTGACATCGATCGGGAAGATGTTCGGGTGCAAAGGACGAGCGAGCGAGCCCGGGTAGGGCGCGAAAAGGAGGTACTACAACAGTGAAGCTTGTACCTCACACAGCTGATCTCCGGGATCATTTGCTTGGACGACAATAATTTGATGGAATCTTCATTTATTAACAGAATTTATTTGGCTGTGCAAGCAGTCTGCCCATCTGCGGGGAAAATGAACACTGAATTATATCGATATTCAGATATGAACAACGCTTATATGTGCAGCGGAAATAGATCGTGGCATAATTCTTCGGATAGGAAGCAGGCTACCCACACTCGTGAGATTATCATCCAGTCGAACATCATGACCCTGATGAACGTAAGATGCATCAAGGATACGGCCATGCCATGCCCACTATAAGAGTCCAACATCTTGAGTCCGTGACCCACCAGTCCCAAGATGTCCCGCCAACCCTCTGTTGCAGAGATCCGTCTGACCAACACCATAGCCTGCTTGACTCCGGCTGTTGCACTCCTCAATGAGCTCAGTGATGCATTTGGTACCCCGTTTGTGCCGGCCATTTCCAATACCACTCTCTCCTTGATTACTTTAGTGCAGGTGAGATATTGCTTGGAGGTAGGCCTTGGTGCTGAAGGTGGTGCAGAATGTCAAGAAAAATAAAGAAGACTGTATTCAACTCCTGGAGAATGTTTATCAGTTGCTTTCTGCTATCATCAATCTCCATCTCAAGTCTGAATCCAAGGGGAATCTTCACCCTGCCACTTTAAACCATGTTGGAAATTTTGCAGAGTATGTTGATGTAATTTAGCGCGATGATGATTGACAGTTCCCTTAGGACACTCCACAATATTCACACATTTGTGGAGGCACAGCAGGAGGGCAGCAAGATCAAGTACTTCTTTCGCCAGACTGAGACAAAGACATTGCTCATTGAATGTCGAGCGGGATTGCAGCAGGCCTTTGGGGTATTCAAGGTATATTTTTTGTATATTCAGGATCATGAACTAAAACCTCGTGTAGACTGGGACCAGCATCACTGCGCTTGGTAACATTACTCAGATGAAGGAAGAGGCAGAGATGATGCACAAGGAAGTGCTCGAGTTGATTTCAACCCTCTCAGATGGGACAACTTCTGACAGGTCCTCCTCTGTATGGACTTTCTCATTCTTGTGCAAAGCTAGTTTTGAGTTTTTGCACAGATATACAAGATCAGTGGATCTCAGAATAGGTGATCTTTTTACTCTTTGGGTCTTGGTCCAGACTAAAATTTTACCTCTCAAGTTCTACCTCAATTTCAATGTTGCCACCCAAACCAAAGATCTTTCATGGCCGAGAAACAGAACTCAGGGAGATAGTGGATATACTCCATCAGGAATCCCCGAGGATAGCAATTCTAGGTGCTGGCGGAATGGGCAAAACAACCCTTGCCAAGGCTGCCCTCCACCAGCCGGACATTGCTTCCAAATATGAGCAGTGCTTCTTCGTAGTTGCAGATTCTGTCACTACCAGTATTGGACTTTCAGTCCTGATTAGGGAACATATTGGCTTGAAGCCAGCCAAAGATGCTACACAACAGCTGATACATTACTTTGCCACCACTGGGCCTTCCCTGCTGATTCTTGATAATCTGGAAACTTCATGGGAGCCTATGGAGTCCCGTGGGGGGGTTGAGGAACTCTTGTCCAAACTCACTGATGTCCTACATCTTGTGCTTGTGGCAAGTCTCCATATCTGTTGAAGCTTGCAATATGCTCACATCCAGATAGATCACAATGAGAGGTGCAGAGCGGCCAGCAAAAGTCCACTGGACTCACCCATTCCTGTCACCCTTAAAGCCATTGTCAGATCTGGCTGCTCGAGACACATTCTTTGCCATTGCTGAGGACAGTTTTGACAGCAAAGATGTTGATGAAGTTCTCTCCTTAACGGACAACATGCCATTGGTAGTTGACCTTATAGCTCATGCCGTGGACTATGAAGGGAGCTGTTCCACTGTCTTGGCTCGCTGGCAGACAGAAAGAACTTCCCTGCTTTCAGCTGGCAGTGACAGGAGGTCCAACTTGGATACATCAATTAAAACTTCACTCTCAAGTCCCCGCATGAGCCCTGGTGCTAAGAACCTATTGGGTCTTCTCTCAATTCTGCCAGATGGGCTGTCAGATGTTGACCTCGTGCAGGGCAAGCTCCCTATCCAGGACATCATGACATGCAAAGCCATATTACTTGCTACTTCTCTGGCATATATTGATGACAAGAAGCGACTAAAATCATTGGTCCCTATCCGAGAGCACATGCAACAGTTTGATCCCCCTTCCCCACCCCTCATTCACCAACTGCAAAAGTACTTTCATCAGCTTTTGGATCTGTACCTGCAATATCCCAGAACTCAACAGGGGGCTGGAAGAGTCAAGCACCTAGGATTGAATGTTAGAAACATGCATGAATTGCTGCTCCGAGGGTTGAACCAGGATAACCCAGACTTGGCAGAGACCATCAATTGCACATTTTCCATGAAGCTTTTCCTGCAACGAACCACTGCTGGGTATTATCACCTGCTTCCTAGGTTAATGGATCAGATTGAGGCTGTTCTGCCTGGAAATTGTGATGAAAAATTCAAGATTCAGCTCATGACATGGAAGTTTGAGTCAAAAAGTCCCATTCTCGCTGGCAATGCAGATTCTTTGATTGCACAGGCTGTCTGCCACTTCCGCACCTTCAATGATCTGGCCCTTGAAGGTGAGCACCTTGCATAGGTTTAATTGATACTGTCTCAATCTAATGAACTTTAGCCAGATTCTACCATCAAGTGGGAATCTACTATTTCCTTGCTGCCAGGAAATTAGGGAGGTTGCGCAAAAGCCGCAAAAGCCGCATGCGGCTTTTGGTCATTGCGCAAAGCCGCACGGAAAAAAGTGAATTCTGGGGGATATCAGCCAGCTATTCCAATGAAGGGCTACCTGAAAAGGTGGACGGGTATTGTGAGGTGAGAGAGCTTTCTTGGCATTGCCCCTGGCACGTGCTGGACTCGAGAGTGTGAGAAAAGGAAGTGGAGTTCGGGTGATGTTGGAGCGATGCGTCAGAAAGACAATTTCCCATGCTTGCACATCCCATGCATAATACTTTCAGCAGTGGAATACAAAGCTTAGAGGGACATTGGATGGTATCGAGCATGAAAAGAACCAAGAAAAATCAAGAAAAGTGCGCGGCTCTGCGCAATGGCCAAAAGCCGCATGCGGCTTTTGCGGCTTTTGCGCAACCTCCCTATTATCTATGGCCTCGGAATATTTGCATCAGGCTCTTGAGTTGGCAATATCTCACAGAGATCTGACAAGGCAGGCTGCGGTATTGCTGAATCTTAGTGAAATGCAATGGTTCCTTGGTGATTATGGTGCAGCACAGTTGCATGCTCGAGCTTCACACATGATTGCCGAGAAATTAGGAGACTTACAGTCTCAATCATTAGCCCTTCGAACTTTAGCCCAATGTCACCGAGTCTCTGGTGACACTCAAAATGCGATCTTCCTCTGTCAGAGGGCACAAAAGCTGCTGGAACTTTGTGGCACAACTACTGCCAGTATATATACATATCTAGTGCAAGACCTAGCAGAAGCCCACTTCTTGAAATCAGAATATGCGGATGC